AGGGCAGTATACTAGTTGGACCACTGCTCCAAAAGAAGTAAAGGACTTGTGGTGGAATAAGTTCAAGGTAAGTTTTGTCCTTCTATTTTCTCACAAACTAAGTTCGGTGTAGCATACTGATGGTACATGGTAATGGATATGTAACCCTCATAATAAGTGTACGGTTATTTTTCTATTGATTGTAGCGAAAGTTCAGGTGAGATGAAGCGAAAAAGAAAGAAGTTAGAATAATTTTTAAGAAGAAAGCCGGCGATCACATGTGAAATGTGATGAATAGAGCAAAGAGAAGTCAAGAAAAGCCGGATTTTATTACAGCTGACAATTGGATGGAAATTAAGAGAACTTGAGACACAGAAAAGCATAAGCAAATCAATGAACAAAATACGAAGAATCGAGCTTCTAGTTCTAGTGAAGGGTCTGCCACGTATACTAGGGGCTCTATTAACATTAGGGAGCATAGAAAAAGAATGGTAAGTCTGTTAAATATGTTGTAAGTTAATTTAATTCAATGATTACTCATTTATGTTTATATTTTATAAGTAGATGAATTGGGGACGAAACCGACATTTATAGCTACATTTGAACGTACATTTCATAAAAAAGATAAGACATAGACTAGCGATCAAGCAAAAGCTATTAAGGTATGTAAGGTTATACTTTGGACTTATTGGAAACTAGAATGAAAACCATGAATGCTTTTAATATTAATGGTAGTTATATATATGAAATTATTTTATTTTCATCTATATTGTTAATGTAGGAAAAATATGATCAACTTGTAATGAGAACTGCTGCTAGTGGTGGTGATGGTGTTGCTACGTTCGAGCCATCGATTGACAGTATGGCATTATGGGTAGAGGCATCAGGTAGAATGAGAAGAGGTCAAATATTTGGGATGTGATCCTTGTCAAGAATATACACAATGCAGGCTGCTGCAACTTCATCCTCCAATGCGGCTTTTTTAAGGAGGACACAACACAAGGAGCAAATGACCTAAGAATTGAGCCAACTGAAACATTTACTTGTACAGAAGGACGGAGAAATAAGAGGAATGAAACAATATTTGCAATTGATCTCGCGACACCTCAACCTCGATCACGATGATGTTCCTCTTATACCTCGCACTAATCCAGTAGGTGATGGGCACAATGATGAGTGACACAATGATGATGAGATTGCTGATAACGATCATCATTTTATCAATCCTTGCTAGTTAAAATTTCCAAACTCGAGAGTAAGCTTGCTTCAGCATTATCTATTTATAGGACAAGTTATTAGTTGTTGCATTTGTTCAATGCATATGTATCGATTCTGTTAAAAGTTCAACAACTGTTCATGTTGAATTTTGGCACATGTACACGAGAGACAATGGACTAATCAAGCTGATGCTCAGCTATCTCTCTCCCTTGTTCACATACACACGTGCATTTTAGGAACAGAATTGCTGGGATCTGAATTACTTGGCACTAATTCTTTGAAGAATCTCTGGAATCATCGTGATGCCATATTGTGTTGTTATTTGTTATTTGTATTACTCGAAATTGTTAAAAGTGAATTTTGCCATGTCTGTAATTAGGAATGATTAATGACGGTCTTCCTTTTGGTTTGGCAGTCTATTTCAGTTTTCGTCTTTGCAAACCAAGTAGGACTTGACATATTAGAGACCACTTTGGTGGCTTTACAAGATATCACTTTGGATTAGATATTTGATGAGTCAGTTTGCAAATAATTGTGCCTTGGGTTCACTAAGTTAATGCAAGAGGCAGTTCTATCATTCTTTATGCTACATGACAATAAGTGTTCGGTTTGCATACATGCCCTCTGGAATTTGCATGTCGACAATGGGGCGACATGTCTCGTATGAACAAGCAATTGCTTGGAAGGTCCTTTCTGTGGAGGAGAACACTGTCCATTGCCTCGTTTTCTCTTTCGTGAATTGGTCTTTTGTGTGAGCATAGCCTAATATATTCTTTTTTGAACACCCCTCTTTCTACTGTTGAATAGATGTAAAAAAATTACGAGGGGTTAGGAGTTTGATATTGTGATGTCTTTTGTTTGCTCTACAGATGGACAGGACTTCGATTCTTGGAGACACTATAGACTACGTGAAAGAACTTCTTGGCAAGATCAACAGCTTGCAATAAGAGAGCGAATTGGATTTGAAGCAGTTGAATTTGTTGGATCCTCTCAAGGATTTTTCATACAAATTTAGTGCTTTGTTCCATTTCTTTCTTTTTTGTGTTTGTTCTTGTCTTGATTGTGATTCTATCAATGTTAAATATAAATTCTATAATTACTGTTAATTAGATTTCAAATCGAAATCATCCCTAAACAACATTCGTCGCAGACTTCGTCGCTAAATAATTCATAAAAATTCGTCGCCAAATTCGTTTTAGAACAATGTTTGTGGCAAAAGTCAACATTTTTCGTGGCAAATTAGTGACGAATTTTGCCACGAATAAGTTCGTCGCAAAATACTAACCAAAAAAAAAATTTGGTAGCAAATTAGCCACAAATTTTACCACGAAATGTGTTCGTGGCAAATTAGCAACGAATAACTTCGTCACAAAATACTCACCAAAAAAAAATTTGGTGGCAAATTAGCCACGAATTTTTCCATGAAATATGTTTGTGGCAAATTAGCGATAAATTTTGCCATGAATAATTAGCAACGAATTTTGTTGCGAATATATTTCATCGCAATTTCGCGACCAACAAAAAAAATTTCGGAAAAAAATAGCAATGAATTTTGCCACGAATATTGTTTGTGGTAAATTAGCGATGAATTTTGCCACGATTAATTAGCTACGAATTTTGCGACAAATAAAGTTTGTGGCAAATTAGCGATGAATTTTGCCATGAATAATTAGCGATAAATTTTGCGACGAATATAGTTCGTGGCAAATTGGCCACGAATTTTGCCATGTATAATTAGCGAGGATTTTTTTTCCGTTGCAAATTCGTTTAGCGATGAATTTCGCCAAATTTTTCGTGGCAAAATTCGTCGCTAAAACCAACTTTTTTTGTAGTGCTTCTCATGAAATCTCGAGGGGTTTCAGCTTGTTTTTCCACAACTTGGGCTTGCCTTTCCACAGTTTGGGCTAGTTTGGCAACCAAATCCTCCAAGTTGGAATTCGGATTCTCCATGGGTGGTGGTGGTGCTCTTGGTCCTTGTTGATTTTGACCTCCCCAAGATAGATTAGGGTGATTCATTCATCCCAGATTGTAAGCGTTGTAATAAGAATTGTTTTGAGGACCCCTGTTAAAATTTGAAACAAAGTCAGCATGTTCAAAAGAACTAGCATAAGGGTTACTTACTTGACAATTAGCTAATATGATTTCCACCAGAAAATTCACAAGATACTTGTTGAGTTTTCAAAGAAGCAATCATTGTGCTCAATGCATCAAGTTTTGCATTCAAAGCTGTATTAGTGTCAACTTCATGAACTCCACTTGGCCTCCGGGCTTGGTATCTCTCAGTTGGCCATCGGTAGCTATTGCTTGCTATCTCCTCGAGTAGATTAATAGCTTCTTCGGGTGACTTGTTTTGCAAAGTGCCTCCAGCTACCGCATCTAGACTAGCCCGAACAGTGGGATGTGCTCCATTATAGAATGTGTGCACTTGCATCCAAACTGGTAGTCCATGGTGCGGGCATCTCCTTAGCAACTCCTTAAACCTCTCCCATGCTTCATAAAAGGGTTCACCATCCATCTGCATAAATGTAGTAATATCATTATGCATTTTGGCAGATTTTGTAGGAGGAAAATACTTACTTAGGAATTTTTTAGCCAAGTCCTCCCAAGTGGTGATAGAGCCTGGAGGAAGAGAAGTCAACCAAGTCTTAGCTTTATCATGAAGAGAAAATGGGAACAATCTTAACTTAATGGCATCACCGGTAACGCCATTGAATTTAAAAGTGTCACAAATTTCAAGGAATGCTTCTAAGTGTAGACTTAGATCATCATTAGGGTGATCCACTGAATTGCCCTGCATTTTGAAGCATTTGAATTAAGGATGGCTTGATCTAAAAATTGTTGGCTTGCACCTCCGGCCTCCTTATACTTGATTATGCTCCTTGAATTGTTGGTGTAGCATAATCTTCCAAAGTCCTCCTTGGAGCTGCGACTTCTCGAGCTTCGGCCATTGCAATGGGGATTGCTTGTGCTTGCTCTCTTCTTCTCCTAAAAAACGTTCTTTCAATCTCGGGATCAAACTCTTCAAGGTCTCCTTTTTGGCTTCAGGTCATGCAATGCTCCTCCCACCTTTTATAGAAAGGTGAGTTTAGCTTGCAAAAGAAACAAATTAAAAACAAAATAAAGGCTAGTCTAAACCAAGAATAGCTCAATATCAATAGTAATTGGAAAATTATCAAAGCAATCCCGGCAATGGCGCCAAAAACTTGTTAGGTGAATTGCAAGTGCACAATATCTACAAGTAATAAAGTGATGAGTGAGTATCGTTTCCACGAGGTTTATCTCTAACTATCCAATTACTTACCGAAGGTGATCAATCCAAGGAACTAGTTAACCAAATCGAAAAGGCAAGTAAAAAGTGGACTAAACTAATTAAAGGACTGAAATATAAAAGAGCCGAAGCTTAAAGGATTCAAAAGCTAATTAAAATTACAAAGTAGACATAATCCAACCAAACCGAAAATTAACAAGGCAAATTAACAAAATTTTAACCAAGATCACAAAGCTTTAGAGCATCCAACTTCACTTAACCACTCATAATCAATTTTCGTAACTTATCATGCAACAAATTAATTCCCAATTGGGTTGGTGAAATTTCCTTAAGTTAGATTACAAGCCGACTTCGGTCTAATAATCCCTAATTAGGTATGTTATGTCACGCCCTGCACCCTACGGCGCGCCACATCCCTGCCGCAGTCGATTCAAGTACGACGTCCCAGGACGCGTCGCCGACCCAAAACTCAAAACAGAGAACAAGCACACGCGGAAGCAACACAACACCCGGACAATAAAACACATGACCAAGGATAGCGACACAAACAATAATTACAACTTGCATAAGCAACGAAGATATACAATATCCATTTACAGCATAAGCACTTAAATCAAAAAGGGTCAACGGCCACTAGCAACAAAAGGGTAAGTGGCTCGGGATCAGACTCCCACTCCATCGGCTCTTCCTCCTCGGGGTCGGAATCCATCTCAAGGTCGGGGGTCTGAAAAGTTGGGTTTAAACAACAGTAAGAATAAATCTCAGCGAATAGGCCCCCTAAACCCAAACTAGGCTAACATGCACCTCCTGACGAGCACCAAACAACACACTATCCAAAATATAAATGACTTCAGCCCTTGGGCCAAATCCAATATTTACTTGGCCCTGCAGGTCAGGCACTTTATAGATTCACAATATTAACACAGAACCTAATCGTGGCACAAGCACAACACTACTTGACCACAATGCATGTCATACATCTATACTCATGCTCATGCTCATGCTTATGCTCACACTCGTGCTCATGCTCATCGGGGCACACTTGCACACTTACACACATGCCATTTCTCAATTCTCCTCCGACCCGCGTAAAACGGATCAGGTCCATCACTTCGAAATCGATCTCTGACCCACGTAAAACGCATCAGGCTCATGACACAAAACCCACGTAAAACGCAATAGGTTGGTCATCTTCCAGTAGTCCGAGCATCGTCCCGCGTAACACGCCTCAGGACGGGTTCAATACCCCGCGTAAAATACATCAGGTCTTTATGTGATCACACGTTCACAATCACCGATTATTATCTGAACCCCGCGTAAAATGCATCAGGGCATTTTAGGTGATCACATGCTCATGTCATTCATGCACAATCATATATGCACATGTTATGCCAATGCTCGAGATGCACACTCATGGCCACAATATCCGCACTCGGCATTCGTGGAATTCACACTGGGCACTCAATATGATTTGGCTATATATTCAAATAACGCCACAACATGTTCAATTCACATCTCAATATGCCCAATAAACTAACCAATCCAAACCAGTCACAATATATAATTTAGCACCCAAAACCACGCAATTAAAACACAAAAATTACACATGCCGATAGCCTACCAAGCCTCTCATAATTGGCCTTGCCAAGCACATCATAGAGCATTACACAATCACACTCAAGCCATGATTAATTTAGCATTCTCATGGGCCGATCACTGTTTCCTAAGTAACTCACCCAAAAACCTCGCTTAACCAATTATGGCCCGAATCACCCGATACCAAATCATCCATGAGCAGTCCACCCTAGGCCATTAGATCGCTTCCAATTCATCACCTTAGGCTCCCCAACTTCACCACGAAAACAGCCACTACTCGGCCTACAATTTACACTCGCCAAATCCACATTTTTGCCCGAATCAAGGCGCCTATGCTCAGCCACCACACAGCACGATATGGGCCACTAAACCTCAATTAAATTATTACCCTAAGCCACTAAATTAACCGCAAAGTCAGCCCCTAACATCCTTCACAAATTAACCCCTAAATTACCCTAATTAACTGCTAAAACTCATCTAGAAATGTACATTAGCCTAATTAAGGTTTAGGGTTGCACTCACTTGGATTCCTAAGCTCCCTACAAGGCTGAACAAGTGGGGAAAATGGGCGGGCTGAGCTGATTCCACGGCGGTGCAAGTGGCGGCGACGGACGGCCTCCATGGCGGCGCGAACGGCGGCGGCTTGTGGACGGCGGTCCATGGTGGGGGGTTGCTCACACGGCTGAGGAAAAGGAGAGAGAGAGAATGGGATGGCTAGATGGTGGTGCAAGGCGAGGTGGTGGCGGTGGCAGATCGGCTCCGGCGGCGGCGGCGGAGCTCCTCCGGCGAGGGCCTCTCACGACCAAGCAAAGAGGAAAATGAAAGAGAGGAAGTTGGCGTGGGAGGGGGAGATGACCGGCTGATGATGGGAGGAAATGGGAGGAGAGAGAGATCAAGAGTATTAATTGGTCCAAGAAGTTTGACCAAATTTTCCTTAATTCCAATTTTGCCCCTTAAAAACTTGGTTCTCATTAATCCAAGCCAAAATATCCAAGGGCGTTTTGGTCTTTCAATTGACTGAATTATTGGGGTTGATCTTATCCAAATATCCTCCAATAATTTCTCCCAAAATTCGGAATACCCAAAAATAGGCCTAGGGGCAAAATCGTAAATTTCCGATTCCGGGCTGAATTTTCAATTTTCGACCGTATCGACCCTAAATATATTTGGCCACACTAAAATGACGTCATCCTTATAAAAATAGTTGCGTACACCCCCGAAATCCGACGTCCAAGTCCAGATCTAATTTCGCGATCAAAATCGCTCCATTACAATTTTAGGGTATCTCACTAACGGGCGGCTGTTTAGGGTTTACGCGTATCGACTTAGGGTTACTCGAATCGTGACGGTCTCGATTACCGAGAGAACGCGAGGGATTATCGCTAGTTCCGGATGTCGCGATCGTTCGGATTTAGTTCGGGATTTGTTCACTACGCGTACTCTCGGTCGTGCAGAATCACCCGTGATCCGATCGTACGTCATTGGCCAAACTAAATCCGTCACCCTCTTAGGATCGGCCCACATTGGCCCAAAATATTTCCTCTTCGTTTCTCAGAATCGGTGCCCAATTCGCGGTCGGGTCCTCGGTCCACGTACCGTTTCCCCTAATTAGCCATTCCTTCCGATTAATATCCCGTGATTGATCAAGTCCGGGCGAGACTTACTAAAATTAAATGATGATTAATATCTATTTCATTGATCCCAGAAATGGGTCGAAATTCAGGATGTTACAATTCTTCCCCCTTACAAAAATTTCGTCCTCGAAATTTGCAATCTAAACTTATCTACTCAAACAGATGGGGGTGCTGACATCGTATGGCCTCTTCACTTTCCTAGGTAGCACCTTCCATTTCGTGGTGCTCCCACACAACCTTGACCATTGGGATCGTCTTATTCTGAAGCACTCGATCTTTTCTGTCTTCGATCCTTACTGGCCTCTCCACGTACGACACCCTATCGTCTACGTCTATCTCCTCGTACCTCATAACGTGAGTCGGGTCTGGTTCATACTTTCTCAACATCGACACGTGGAATACATTGTGTACTTGGGACAGGTTGGGCGGCAAGGCAAGTTAATAAGCCATATTGCCAATCTTCTCCAGAGTCTTAAAAGGTCCGACAAACCTCGGACTCAGTTTTCCCTTCTTGCCAAATCGGGATAATCCCTTCATAGGTGACACTTTGAGAAATACATGATCTCCCACTTGGAATGCCAAAGGTCGTCGTCTCCGATCGGCATAGCTTTTCTGGTGGCTCTGCGCTGTCTTTAACCTATCCCGAATAATCTCAACTGCTTCGACCCACTGCTGAATCAATTCTGGGCCTATGATACTCCTTTCACTGACTTCATCCCAGTAGACTGGCGTCCAGCACGCCCGCCATACAAGGCTTCAAACGGCGCCATCTGAATGCTTTGTTGATAGCTATTATTATATGCGAACTCTACCAGGTGCAGCTATTCCTCTCATTTGCCCTGGAAGTCCAAAACACAGACACGCAACATATCCTCCAAAGTTTGGATCGTCCTTTCAGATTGGCCATCCATCTGTGGATGATAGGCCGTACTGAATTGCAACTTCGTTCCTAAGGCCAATTGCAAGCTTTTCCAAAAGTTGGCCATAAACCTCGGATCACGGTCCGACGTGATCGTTATCGGTACTTCATGCAATCTGACGATCTGTCGAGCATACAATTCTGCGTACCTTTCCAATTCAAAATCCTTTCGCACTGTTAGGAAATGTGCTGACTTTGTCAATTGATCCACTATCACCCAGATGGAATTGTGACCTCTCTGGCCCCTTGGCAATCCCGTCACAAAATCCATCGTGATGTGTTCCCATTTCCATTCAGGGATCTCTAATGGTCTCAATAATCCTTCCGGCTTACAGTGCTATGCCTTCACTTGCTGGCACATCAAATACTTAGCCATATACTTGGCTACATCTTTCTTCAGTCTATTCCACCAATAATGATGCCGTAGATTCTGGTACATCTTTGTACTGCCAAGGTGGATACTATAATTACTGCGATGTGCCTCTCTTAAAATCTCCTCCTTAAGCTCCAGGTCATCAGGCACGCACAGCTGTCCTCTGAACTTTAAAGTTCCATCATCACTTACTTGGAATTCCGGTTTTTTTGCGGCGGCGTCCATTCCAACAATCTTTTGTATTTCTTGGTCCGTAGACTGTAACGCCCTAATCCTCGCCTGGATCTTCGGTTCAATTCTCAAGGCAGCCATTAGGCTCGACATCTGACTCACTTCGAACTTAAATTCCGAGTCTCTTAGCCTTTCCAATAAGGTCTATTCTTTGACCATCATTAGCGCCATACTTGACTTCCGACTTAGCGCATCCGCTACTCGATTCGTCTTCCCGGAATGATACATGATGTCGCAGTCGTAGTCCTTAAGAAGTTCCATCCATCGGTGCTGCCTCATATTTAATTCCTTCTACGAAAATAGATACTTGAGGCTTTGATGATCCATATAAATCTAGAACTTTTCCTCGCACAAATAGTGCCTTCAGATTTTAAGAGCAAAAACGATCGCTGCCAACTCCAAATCATGAGTTGGATAATTCATTTCATGCGGTCTCAACTGGCGCAACGCGTACGCGACTACCTTCCCATGCTGCATTAATACACACCCGAGCCCTCTTAGCGACGCATCGCTATATACTTCAAATCCTCCTAGCCCAGATGGAATTGTCAATACTGGGGCAGTTGTCAGTCTATACTTCAACTCTTGGAAACTTTTCTCGCACTTATCATCCCATTCAAACTTAGATCCTTCTTAAGTAATCGTGTCAATGGCATGGCTATCGACGAGAATCCTTCTACAAAACGTCGATAATAGCCGACCAATCGCAAGAAACTTCGGATCTCCATTACTGAGGTCGGTCTTGGCCACTTCATTACTGCTTCAATCTTCGTCGGGTCCACAGAAATTCTATCTCCTGAAACTATGTGTCCAAGAAACACCACTCTACTTAGCCAAAACTCATACTTACTGAACTTGGCGTAGAGTGCGTGTTCCCTTAGAGTCCGTAGCACCTCAATTAAATGTACCTCATGCTCCTCAGGGCTCTTTAAATATACTAGTATATCGTCAATGAACACTATGACGAACCTATCCAAGAACTCCTTGAACATCCTGTTCATTAAGTCCATGAAAGCTGTAGGGGCATTGGTCAATCCGAAAGGCATCACTGTAAACTCGTAGTGTCCGTACCGCGTTCTAAAAGCGGTCTTAGGAATGTCCTCCTTTCAGATTCTCAACTGATGGTACTCGGTCCGAAGATCAATCTTAGAGAACACTGAAGCTCCCTGTAATTGGTCGAATAGGTCATCGATTTTCGATAGTGGGTATTGATTCTTAATCGTCACCTGATTCAATTGCCGGTAATTAGTGCACAACCTCAATATCCCATCCTTCTTCCTCACAAACAGGACCGGCGCTCCCCATGGAGACACACTAGAACGAATGAAACCTTTGTCCAATAATTCCTGCATCTGGACTTTCAACTCTTTCAATTCTGACAACGACATCCGATACGGTGCCTTTGAGATCGGTTCTGTACCCGGGGCCAATTCTATCACAAATTCTACTTCTTGCTCTGGTGGTAAACCTGGCAATTTCTAAGGAAATACCTCGGGGAAATTGCACACTACCGGTATCTTTTCCAACTTAGGTTCTGTCACGGTGGAATCTACCACATTCACTAAATATCCCTCGCATCCTTCATCCAGCAACTTAGTTATCTCGAGCGAAGAAACCCAAGGGATCGAGGTTCCTCCTTGATTTCCTTGAAATTCAAATTTAGGATGTCCAATTGGATTAAATTGAATCACCCTACTGCCGTAATCCACTACGGCTTTCTGCTTAGACAACCAATCCATTCCAATTATCACATCAAAATCGAACATAGCCAACACTGCCAAATCGATACTTTCTTCTTTACCCCAAATCGCTATTTTACAACTAGGATACTCCAATGACACTAACACTTTATCATTTAATGAGGTTGTCACACAAAGCATGGTCTCAAGCAGCACAGGTTCAATTCCAACCAGTTTAACAAACTGTTCTGAAATAAATGTATGGGTCGCCCCCGAATCAAATAATGCATACGCAGCATGATCACATAAAGAGATCATACCTGTGACCACGCCCGGCGTGTCCTCCGCCTCTCTACGCGCCATAGTATGAACTCATCCTTATGCTAGCGGCCTACCCTAACTAGCCGGTAGGGAATTCCCGGCTTGATTCCCTATTCGATTTTACTGCGGTTGCTCTGGGGTCCTGAAGGGCGCTGCTGGGGACAGCTTCGAATTTGATGCTCCAAACTCCCACATCTAAAACATGCCTCAACTCTCCTCGATGAAGGATTAGGCTTCCTAATATTTCTCCTAGCGGGTGGGACGAAACGCCTATTTCCTGCCATCGGTTTCTTTCCGAAGCGGCGATTGTCCCTGTTCTGGGCAAACCGCGATCTAGATGCGGCTGCCCTGTCTACCTGGTCCCGCTCTAAAGCTTGAGCCCTGTCATAGATGTCCTCATAGGTTCTCAAATTCGCAGGTATCAACTGGGTACGAATGTCAGGTTTCAATCCTTCCCGGAACCTTCGCGCCTTTTCCTCAGGATGC